GCCCAAAAGTACACGTTCAACAAGGATGGCGAGCAATTTATTTTTCGTTCAGCATCTCTTCCACAGGAGACGAGCTTGGTGACAGTGACTCGGGCTAAGAGGTTAGTGAACACGGGTAGGAAGTTCGTTTTGTTGTTCATTCGGCCGTATGAAGAGCAGCTGAGTAGGATGTGCTTGTCCACCTTGAGAAAGCTCCAGGAGGGAGATCTTGATAGGTTGAAGGTCAAGTATGCAGACTTGTTTTTGGAGATCACGGGACTACCACCACGTCGAGGTGTAGAGCATGAGATTATGTTGACCGGGGAGAGTTCCTTACCTAATATAGGCCTATACCGCACATCAGTACTGGAGTCCGAGGAGATCAAGAAGCAGGTTCAGGAGCTCTTGGAGGCGGGAGTGATTATGCCGAGTTGTTCACCTTGCGGGTCACCTGTGTTGTTGGTGCCCAAACAGTATAGAGGCTGGCGCATGTGCGTGGATTACCGGGCGCTCAACAAGATAACCATCAAGAATCGCTACCCATTACCGCGGATCGATGATCTTATGGACCAGTTGGAGGGAGCGAGGTTTTTCACTAAGCTGGATTTGAAGTCTGGTTACCATCAGGTGAGGATTCGGGAGGAAGACACTTGGAAGACTGCGTTCAAGACCAAGCAAGGCCTGTTCGAGTGGTTAGTGATGCCGTTTGGATTGTGCAATGCTCCGGCTACCTTTATGAGGCTTATGAATGATTTCTTACGACCCTTTATAGAGGATTTTGTGATAGTTTACCTTGATGATATCTTGGTGTACATCAGGACTTGGGAGGAGCATCTTGTTCATGTTGAGAAGGTATTTGAAGTGTTGCAGGATGGACAGATGAAGCTCAACAGGAAAAAGTGCGAGTTCGGGAAGGACGAGTTGGTGTATCTCGGCTTCATCGTAGGGAAGGGCCAGCGGAGGATAGATCCAGGCAAGGTGGAGGTGATCACAAAGTGGCCGACGCCGAAGACAGTGACTGAGGTGAGGGCTTCATCGGGGCTTGCCAGTATTTGCGCAAGTTCATTCGACATTTTTCAGCTTATGCGGCACCGTTACATAGCCTCACAAAGGCTAAAGTTCAGTTTGAGTGGGGAAGGACGCATGAGGAGGCTTTTCAGTTGCTAAAAAGGAAGATCTTGGAGGCACCGGTGTTGGCGTTGCCGAATTTGCAGCGGACTTTCGAGGTAGAGACCGACGCATCTAATTATGCGATTGGCGCGGTGTTGATCCAGGATGGGAAACCGGTAGAATACCATTCTGAGAAGTTTTCGGGTGCTATTGCGAACTACCCAACCTACGACAAGGAGTTCTATGCACTATATCAAGCAATTAAGCATTGGAGGGTGTACTTGTTAGGGAAGGAGGTGGTCGTGCATTCGGATCATAAGCCGTTGGAGTTCTTACATGCCCAAACAAAGCTACAGCAGGCACGACACAGTACAAGAAGGGGGCGACGAACAAGTTGGCTGATATGTTATCTCGTCCGCCGATAAGGTCTTTATTGGTGGCGACGCATATTCAGCCCTTGGTTCCTATGGAGTATGTACAGCTGTATGCATCCAGTAGGGACTTCGGTAGTGTGTTTGAGCAGGCGAAGGCTGGTCGAAGGGGGGAGTATGCACTTGGAGAAGATGGTTTGTTGTATCATGGGACATCACTATGCATTCCGGAAGATGGTGATAGGTTGCAGTGGATTCGGGAAGCGCATTCCTCGCGTGTGCAAGGGCATTTTGGCATTCAGAAAACGCTTCTCAATCTACGGCGACATGTGTTTTGGCCTTGGATGCTTGATGATGTGACCAAGTATGTTGGAGGGTGTAAGTTATGCTGTATTTCTAAGCCTTCTAACAGAAAGAGGGGATTGTACCTACCATTATCGGTTCCTTCTAGGCCGTGGGAGAGCATTTCTATGGATTTTCTAGGAGGGTTGCCGACTACGAAGCATGGGCATGACTATTTGTACGTTGTGGTGGACTGGTTCAGCAAGATGGTGATATTGATTCCTTGTAAGAAGACCGTGACGGGAGCGGGTGCAGCACAATTGTTCTTCGAACATGTGTGGAAGCACTTTGGGTTGCCGAGTTCGATTATTTCGGATCGGGATAGCCGTTTTCTCGGGCATTTTTGGGATTCTTTGTGGAGTTTGATGGACACTAAATTGAAGAAGAGCACGGCCTTTCATCCCACAAACAGCGGACAAACGGAGGTAGTCAACCGGACTATGGTGCATATGTTGCGGGGGTATAATTCTAGGCATCCTAAGACTTGGGATGAGAGTTTACCATATTTGCAGTTTGCTTTTAAACGGGCAATTCATGGATCTTCCGGAAAGTCACCGTTTGAGACTTGTTATGGATTTTTACCGCCGAGCCCGTTCGATCTTGTGTTTTCTAGTGAAGCCACAGTGGACGGCAAGAAGGGGAGTGAAAGACAACGTGCTCAGCGATTTCTCGAGAAGATTGCAAATATTTATGCCATGGTTGAAGCTCAATTGAAGAAATCGCAAGCTAAGTACAAAGCGAAGCATGATCAACATCGGGTTCCTTGTAACTTTGGTAAAGGCGATATGGTATGGCTAAAATTGAGTAAGGAGAGGCTCAAAGGAGAAGGGAAGAAGTTGAAGCCTATTCATTATGGTCCATTTCGGATTATCGATTAGATTGACAACAACGCTTTTTGTTTAGATTTGCCACCTTACTTAGGCATGTATTCGGTGATCAATGCCGAGTACTTGAAGTTGTTTGAGCCTCCATTATTGGATGATGAAGGTGATGACAAGATGATCTTACCGCATGTTGAAGACTTGTGGTTTGATAGAGATGAGCCACTGAAAGAAGATTGCATTTTGGAACGGAAGACGACCAAGACGAGGCGGGGGGAGAAGGAGTCGTTTCTCATTGGACGTCAAGGTCAGGTCCCTAGCAAGGCCAAGTGGTTCAACAGAGAAGGAGGGGCTCGCGAGTTCCCTCAGCTGAAGTTCTAACGGTTGACCGCTTAGTGCACAGACCCAGACTATGTCTCAGGACTAAGAGCGGTCGACCGATGGTGGCGCTGTGGTCGACCGAAAACACTGTAATCGATTTTCTAGTTTTTCGTCGTTCTGACCGGTCGACCGCCTTGGGCACTGCGGTCGACCGCGTAGCGGTTCCGGGCCTAGGTCTGTTTCCTGCTCCAGTTGGGATTTCTGTTTAGTATAAATAGAAGCACGACTTTTCTAGGGTAGAAAAACTGAGATTGTAATCAGAAAAGAGATCAGGGAGGTTGGTTTTTGATCTAGAAAGATTGTGAGAGAGAGAGATTTTGTAAATCGAATTGATTCTCATAATCTAGAGAAGGTATTTTCCTTCGTCCTAATTATAACTCTTGTGTTCTTCAGTCGTTTTCTTCTTTACCCACTCTTGATAATTCCACGATCAAGAGTGCTCGCACGGCAACTCGTATCACCGTGCGTCTAGTAGTTCCCGTACTTAGCCGAGTCAGACGATGCGAAATGAGGGGGTCTAAACTTGAAGGTCGAGTCGATTTTCCCTTATCAACCATGTGGGTGGTGACTACGGGTTGTTCAGGCCTGACGGCTTCTAACTGGAGCCGAGACATTAGTTGGGCTATCCCCAAATTGACTCTTCTTCCTGGAGTGAAATTGGGGTTGGAGCTATTCGAACTAATCAGAGACTTCCCCTTATCGACCACGTTGATTGTAATTGCTGGGAGTTCGTCATCTTGAACAACCGATCGTTTTTTGCGAAAATGTCTTGATTTGGGCTTTGATGCTTCAGTGGAGATCCTCTCAAATACTGAGACCAACTGTGGAGTGGTCCTAGGGTAGCTACACACTGATAATACTATCCTGATAATTTTTGTACACAGACAGTGAGAGTCTGCTTTTCGGGTACCTCTCTTTTGAGATTTATTTGTATCCTCAGCCCGACAGTACAACTCATCGACGTTGCGATCAGAGTAACCAATCGGCTGTTTACATAAATTCTCAGGTATAACGCGTTCGTCTGCTTGACGTATTTTCTTCTGAGTAAACAATGCCTTGTTGGCGTCTGCAGGAGTCATTCGTTTGGAATCACACTTTTCTTAGGGTAAAACCTTAATGGACTCCTGGCCTTCTATACGCACCCCCAAGCGAGCGGTTACAGGAATCAACTTGTTAGGAGGTCGCGTACGACCCCCAGTCTGGATGTTTGCTCGGGGTTCCTTCAACGGTCCCAAGCGTTCGATAAAGATGATGGAAAGTCCACCTCGGGACACTTATTTATCTTTGGAGTATGAGCTCATTCTTGGAGTAGTAAGAAACAATGGTGTGTTGCTAGATACACACAAGAAACTGAATATATAGCTTGTAGTATGGCAACTACACATACAACCTTGATAAGACAGTTTTGATTAATCTAGATCTTAATTTGTTAGAAGGACATGTTGATATTTATTATGATAATCAAGCAACAATTAGCTTGATCAATGGTGGACCGAATAGCTCCAAAGAAAAACACATTGAGATCTAGTATCACTATATTCGAGATATTGTAGAAAAGGAGGGAGAAGTTAATGTGACTTATATCTCTACTATAGATATGATTGTTGATCATTTAACAAAACAAATACCAGTAGAATCTTTTATCAAACATGTAAGTTTGATAGGACTTAGAAATAAATAAGTCCAAGTAAAATTTCATAAATAATAAAATAAAAGTTACTCTCTACAAAAAGTAGGAGTAATAGTAACTACGTAGAAATATGGATCTCACAGATAGTGGGAGTCATATCACTTGGTTAATTTGGTCAAGTGTGAGATATTAATTTGACTTTGTCTTGTGTGACTAAATCAACTATTCTCTATTGAGAGAACTATGGAGAAGTGGGTTGTTGAGAGAATCTCTTTTTAGAGGTAGTAATTGAGGGGATAGAGAGGATGGGTAGCCTCTCTATAAATAGTGAAGTCTTCTCTTGCGAAGATACAACACACAAAAACTACCCCAAAACCCATTACCCGAGCCCCCCATCAAAACAAATTCCAATCTCTTCTTCTCTCTTCTAAAAATAACAGAAAATTCAAAGCCTAGATTTTTGATCTAAAAGAGGAACTCGGTAACCCCTTGTTGTCGGTATTTGAAGACCCAAAAAATCTTTTTTTATCGTGTTTATCAATTTGGGTTCATTCAGGTGAAAACAATCCCTAAAGCCCATAATTTCTCGGTTGAATTGTTCAAGATTTTGGTGTGATTTGTCAATTTTGAATCAGTTTCTTATTTTGTATGATGTTAGCTTCATGTTTTTTCCTGTGATTTGTATCTTATCTCTAAAAAACTCATCAAAAGTTTGAAGCAGATGTTTATTAGTTAATGATGTTAAATTGAGAGTAGCAATTTTGTGTAAAAAGGAAATAATTGGAAGATCCACGGAGAAATATACTTGTCCTTTAACTTATATTTACAAGAAGATATATTAAAAATATGCATTTGGATAGTGTTGTAAATTGTTTTATGAACCATATAATGCACTCTTTCATGGATAACTGCTTATTTTAGAAGGCTAAATTTTAGAAGGCTAACTTGAGATCGCGGTCGTTAGAGAACTGGAACAAGCAAAATGGTGATTTACATAAACAGAGATCAACTGTGTCAACAAAAAGGCTAACTTGAGAGGTTGAGAATAATGTTCCTTTATGTTTGATTTGTAAGTGGACGTATAGCAGGACATAGGCTATATGAATTATGATGACAGGGAAACTATGGCTAAAACTTTCTGAAGACGGATACAGAAGAACAATTAATAGTTGGAGCCATGAGATTCACTGTCAAACTTTGCGGTAACTAATTAGAAAAGATAACGATGCTTGTTGAGATGATAATAGGATATTTGAAAAATTGCTTATGGTGATGGTCACCGTTATATTTTACGAAGAGCAAAGGAAGCAAAGATGGTTGATCTTTGTCCTGTCATGGTATATCACTTAAGAGACCCGTAACCCTTTCTTCATTAAAAATAAGCAGCATCCTGAATCTTGTTTCAGTTTTTTCTGGTTATTACTGTTTGGTACTCTCAGGTATCTATGTATGGTGATTTTTCAATTGTTATCCTTGTGTACCTGCTCAAACTTGTTGGTCAACCTGGTCATGAAGTCATTTGTTTCATTATTTGATTTATGACTATGAATAAAGGGATATTAATCTGTGTATCATGCGATTCATTAACTTGATGGCATGTTTGCGCCAAACTTTCCTTCAAAAGATACCTCCTTACATATGTATCAATATCTTGCTAATTATATACTTTGTAGCATGCTAGAACGGAAGCTTATTTGAGTAAATAACTTCACTGCAGGTTTGCATTTAATGGACATTTCTTTGTTCTTTGCTTTCATTTTGCAAGCAACATCTATGCATTCCTATTGAAACTTTTTTATTGCTCTCATGCTCACCAAGCTAAATAAAATTGAATGAAAGCTTGCTAACAATTATACATGTATTAAGAGAGTTATTGACATGACAACTTTTGAGGTAAAATTCCTCAAAAGAAATACAATGATAAAATTGGAAAAGGTTGTTTTCTTCAATTTTTAATTTAATAAAATCACATTCAAATTTCATACAGATTGATTGTCTGCCTTCTTGAAGTAAGAGTTTGAATCCTCATTCATGCAAATCTTCTGTGATAGCCTTGTTTGCTATTGCTAAAAGCTTGCCTCCTCTGTTGTTGGCCTCCTCAAAAAGTACCGCGAACTACTACCTTGCTAGAACCTGCATAATGAATAAGCAAATAATTTAACAATTTAGTCACATTATAAATGCATAACTTGAGATTGATGGTCTGCAGCTTTTCAAGATGGTTTACCTGTTCTAGAGGCATGACAATGTTTTTGAAAAAGGTCGAGAGAAAGGAGGAATTTGTGAGGAGGTTTTTGGGTGGAGAGCTAAAATGAGGAGACTTTGTAAGGTATGACTTGCCTCCTACACATTATTCACTATACTTGATTGGAGTTTTTTAATCAAGTTTTGGTAGTTATCCTATTTGGTTTCCTTTTTGATGCAGTGATGATTTTTTACACCGGTGAGAAGTACTGAGAAAAGTTCCTAGCTGCATTCTTCTATTTTTTATTTTGATGATTGTTATTTTGGTTGTCTTCATGTACGGTTTGTTTGTGATCTTTGTTTTGTTTAAGCTATGTTGTGTTGAAATATGGTGTATTGTGTTATATCAGACTATTGGCTTTAATTAATGCTTTATGTACTAGTGTTTTTACTTCGTTGTCTAATTTTTTTTTTCTGGATGTCAATTACTTGATGGTTAAAGTCAATTGTAAAAGTGTGTTAAAGTTTGTGTGCATGTGAATGCTACAATCATATGCATCTCATGTTTTAAGTAATTTTTTATTTACAATTCTTTTCTTGATGTTGGAAAATAACTGTACCTATAGCTCATATATATTTATGATTCTGTGTTGTACGTAGATTCAATGGCTTCAATGAAATTTTTTTCATATATAAATATATGTTAATTGCTGCTAGAATACTTGTAATCGAGCCATTTCCATAATATCAAGCGCTAGTGATGTTTAATAAGTACATTGATTTGAAGATGAGGTAATTCTAATTTCAATGCTCTTAGTGTTGGAGTTATAACTTAAAAACTTGGGTTTGTAGAGGAAAACTTTAGTCCCACATTGGAAAAGAGATGGGAAGATAGGCTCTTTATAAGCCTTCCCTTTCTCTCCTATGCCTAGAAGAAAACAAAGGTTATGCTCCACACCACACACGCGCGCGCCGGCTGGGCCGGGCTCGGGCTCGGGTCGGGTGGCGCGCGCACACGACCTGCGGACACGAATGCAGCTCCGGACTGAGGGGCTCTTAATCTGCTACATTTTTATTTTTGAATAATTAAAATATAATTTTTATTTTTGAACAATTAACATGTGATAAATATTTCGTAACAGAAATATTTCGTAACGGTAAAAATTTATTAGTGTGATTAAAAACGTGAAAAATATTTTGTGAATTTATTATGTAACGGAAGCGTTTTTTAATTTTATAACGGCTAAGCTTTATTAACGTGATTAAAACGTATTAACTACGAGTTTATGTAACGGCTGTTTAACCCTATAAAAGGACCAAAACCCGAATAGTTTTACACAGTGAAAAATCAACAGATCTCTTCTCTCCTTCTCTTTCAAAATAAGTTTTCTGTTTACGCTGGTTCCCTGAAAGTCTAGAAGAATTCGCAAAACCTTCTTGAAGCTCGTGCCGACGAGAAGGAGGTCGCCTGACCGAGGGTCGTTGTATAACCAACACCTGCCGAAGGCTAAAGACACAGATTTACAAACGAATTTCTCCTCTTCTTCTCTTTCAAAATATTTGCTATTATATTCTGTTGGTTCCCTGAAAGTCTAGAAGAGTTCGCAAAGCCTTCTTGAAGCTCGTGCCGACGAGAAGGAGGTCGCCTGACCGAGGGTCGTTGTATCTCCGGGAACTTTTGCCGCGTAGCCCAGTACGAGAGGGAGCAATTAGTTTCTTGGGACAGTGCTTGCACGCCTCGACCATCAGGCCGTATTTCTAACTCTGTTTCTTTTTCATTTGATATATTTCTTATATCTGTGTTATAATAGTGATTATCTGTTAATTATTAAATTGCTTAAACTGATTTTTGTTATTGTCTAAACAGCTATTATTTCCAACACTTAGCTCCACAACTTCCTTTTGTAGCTTATTGTTCTCTTCAGTTAACTTCTTCAGTTATACGTACATAGTAAATTATTCCAACTTTTTTTCATAGCAATGCAAGTTTAGAAACTTGTGCGTAACATAAGGTTTAGTCCTGTATTTAGAAAAGGAAAAAATTTATAAAACTATTAGCAATTGACAAAATTGAAATTTTGATCGATCAGTTAAAAAAGTAATATAAGCGAAGAGAAGTTTTGAGTCCTAGGAATAGCCAGTCCGTTTACTTTAAAATGGCGGTGAGATTAGGACTAAAGGTGGGATTGGGATTAGGCAAAGTAAACATGGGATGGAATAGTTAGTCCCAATTCTAGCTAACCCCAATCCCACCTCCTGTTCTTAATGCCACTACCATTATGAAGTAAACGCTGCTTTAATGTTAAGGGTTCTAATTTTGGTCAATTTATAGGCAGATCTTTTAATGCAAGGCTCTAATTTTTTTGTCCTAATTTTAGGAGTTCTAATATTAGTTAATTTGAAATATATTTCTCACCGGAATCAACTCCACTTCCATCTAATCTCTTCATAGTCGAAGAGGTATGATTTTCTTGAAAACCTAATTCTTTATTTAAGCAAATCAAACTAAACTTCATTTTGATTTGATCATCATAATGCCAAGATCTTAGAACAAGATGATTTTCACAAAGAACAATTTAATTAAGAGAGCGTACCTTGATCCATGATTCGAATCTTGATGAGAAATTGACTACAAGAAGAACAATATTGAAGACTTGAGTTTCCCTCTCTTGGCCCTCTTGAATTATTATTATTATTTTTGAATTTTTCTTGATTGACAGATTTTTTTTTCACGTTATGGGTAGAGAGAGGACCAAGCCTTAAATAGAACAATTATCCCACATTCCATCAACGTGAGCAGGTATTTGACTATTTTATCTCAACTAAACGGACCAATAGGAATTTAGCACTTAATATTATTAAACCATATATACCCTTTAACTAAACAATTATTAAACCACAATTATCCTTTGACTAAAAAAAACATGGTTTAAAAACTGTTACCACTAAAAACGTAGTTTTTAAAAAACATGTCCACTAAAGTTAGTTTAAAACGTGATTAAAAATTAATGTGGGCCATTAAAATAGTTTAGTACGTGGGCCACAAAAAATTTAACATTCTCCCACTTGGCCCATGTATCATAATTTGATGTCATAGTTTAATAATACAACATAATATGCATTGTATAAGCTAATTCCATCATTATATTGATCAAACCATCAATCATCATTAAGTAAAAAACTAATAAGGATCATGGCAGTCGTACGCAGTTAAATCGACATAGTCCCTTCCATATATCACAATATTAGTTTTAAACTTAACATGATATGTAATGAGATTTATCATAATGGTCTAACGATAATGCCCTTATTAGAGACATATCCTATTAATATTCACATAATCATCCATGTATATACTAACAATAATAAACAGGATGCATTAATATATATCAGAAACAATATTTAGTTGAGCTCAAAGTGTCAAATATTAAGAACATAAACATTACATAAATGTTAGAAATGATTTTCAATAATGCACATTCTTTCAACATGTTCAGTAAATGTCTTTGGTCGCAACCCTTTCGTTAATGGATCTGCAACCATGAGAGTTGTGCTAATATGTTCAATTGACACTCTTTGTTTCTGACTTCTTTTTTAATGGCAAAGTATTTTAATTCCTTATGTTTAGCACCCTTCGAATACTTGTCGTTTTTAGAAAAGAAGAGTGTTGCAGCATTATCACAATAAATTTTCATCGGATTGGAAGTACTATCAACAACTCTAAGTCCTGAAATAAAATTCCGCAGCTATAATCCATGAACAATGGCCTCAAAGCATGCCACAAAGTCATCCTCCATAGTCAATGCAGCAATGACAGACTGCTTCGTACTTTTTTCCATGAGATCGCTCCTCCAACTAAAAGGAACAAACAACCAAATGTGGATTTTCTTGTATACAAACATCCAGCAAAATCTGAATCTGAATATCCAATCACCTCAAGATGATCAAATCTCCTATAAATAAGCATATGATCTTTTATTCCTTGCAAGTATCTTAATATTTTCTTTGCAACTTTCCAATGATCCAATCCTGGATTACTTTAATATCTACCCAGCATTCCGATAGCAAAACTAATGTCAGGCCTTGTACAAACCTGAGTATACATCAAGCTCCCTACGATGGATGCATAAGGAATTTGTTCCATTTGTTTGTACTCCAATTCATTCTATGGACATTACATAAGACTTAATTTATCTCCTTTATGAATTTGAATAACAGATGCAGAGCATTTGTCCATCTTGAACCTCTCTAGAATTTTATTTATATATGATTTCTAAGACAACCCTAACAATCCTTGTGATCTGTCACGAAATATTTCATTCCAATCACAAAAGATGCCTCACCCATATCTTTCATTTCGAAGTTCTTAGAGAGAAATTTCTTGGTCTCGTGTAACAAGCCAAGATCATTAGCACCAAGAAAGATATTTGTAAAACCTTGAAAATTTTTAAAATAATTTTTGATAAGTTTTATTGTGATTAGTGATCATTCTGGGATGAATGGATCAGTTTGGAATCGATTTGAGATCGATTCGCAGTTTCAGCCTCGGTATCATTAGCCTACTGAAAACTATTACTATTTTATTTTTATCAATTTTTCTAGTAATCAAATGAGCCGAGATTTGCACAATTGATTTAAAAATGTCAAGACCGTGTTGTGGTTAATGTTTCGTTACATACTGACAAGAAAGATTGAAACACTATTTTGAGAACGTGACTATGTTAGCATCTACAGTATTTATATTTTTAATAATTTTTTTATTGATCAGATGAGTGTATGGATTATGTCATTGATCTTAGAATGTTGATACAGTGGTGTGGGTAAATTTTTATTATTTTCTAGAAATGGACTCAGAAATCATATTTTTAAATAATCTATATATTATTATATAAATTATTTCCCCCTACCCTATGCCACCAACCATTTATATTTTTTATTATTATTATTTTTTAAATAAAAAGGGGAGGGGAGGAAGCTTTGGGCACAAACGAAGAGAGAAGGAAGAGAGAGAAAGAGAGAGAAAGAGAAGGAGAGAGAAAGAGAAAGAGAGAGAGAGAGAGAAACAGAGAGGAAGAAAAGAGAGAAAAAGAGGAAGGGGGTTTTGGCAATTCGGATAACATGAATGGATATGGATTCTAATTTCAGAGATCAATAAAGGCAAGTTCATCTCTTTCCAAACCCATCCCCAATTATTTTTTATCTTGATGAAAATTGATGAATAGACATGATATTGATTAAAAGATATGTTATTGATAAAAATTAATTAATAGAATATTATCACTAAAGACATGATCTTGCTAGGTAGAACTATACGTATGTGTACTATTCATACGTACGGTACTATTCATATGTACAATACTATTCACAAGTACAGTACTATTCATAAGTACTGTTACTATCCATACATATGGTGCTATTCATACGTATTAGTATTATTCATAAGTACTAATACTATTCATACGTATA